GCTTCCCACAGGGAAAGTCTCTTTCATTGCAAGTTTCCTGAGTTTTATGAGAATCTCCTGGTCTTGTAGGGAGGGAGCAGTCTGTCAGAACCAGTCGAGCTTCCAACACTTCAGCAGTCAGGTGCAAACAACTGCAAGTCGGGATGCAGGATTGGACACGGGTCCCAAGACACATCTGGGCGGATTGGAGGAACTGGGAGCAAGGAGCTGCTCCCTGGATACCTGCAACATATCCAGCAGTCAAAAGTAATTGGGAAGGCTGAACCTTCTCCCATCTGATCTTAATTATTACCCTGGAGAAGTGGATAATCAGTGGAAAGGCATATAGAAGTCCTCAAGATGGTTTTACAATGGATTTTCACAATGGCTACGAATGGCTGGTTAATGATGTCCTGATCGGAAAGTTTGCCAGACTATCTAGGTCACAGTCCGTGGACTTACCCCATGTTCATGCCTCTGCAGATGGTTCAGGTGGGCATCCTAGTCTACCTAAAGCATCTGTGCAGTTTCATCAAAAGGCAAGGGGCAGAGAATACCCCTTCTAATATCTTCACAGCATGTAGCCACCAATCAAGCTCTCACAGGACATAAGGACTGAGTCTCTTTTTCAAGCAATAATCTGGATGAGGCGTACACTGACCTCAGCTATAAGGGCCATAGGTGAAGTCTGGAAAGTGGCATGAATTGATGTGTCGACACCTATCCTAGTCGTCCAAGAGGCAAAGTAGCTGCCAACAAGGACGGCCTTCCATGCACTGAAGAGATGAGAATCCATCATCTGGCAAGAAGACCCTTTCTGATCAGAAATTAGTCGCAGCACCGATGAACTCACTTGTCTGCAATTCCAAGAGAAATTTTTTCATAATTCATGAGATATCCTTCCTGAGGGAACAGGGACAAGATGCTGACGGCTTTCCTGGATTCCCTGCCTATTCAAAGCACGCAGCAAGGTGCTTCACAAACATTCCCAGCAGTGCAAATGGCCTGAAAGTTAGACCTCCATAATGACGTTCACGTGTTGCACATGAACCGGATGGATGGTTATACAGCAGCATGAACTCTGTGAGCAGAGATCCACAGCCCAGGCTTAAACTTGGCAAAGGAGCCAAGGGCTGCCACCCTGAACCTGAGAGGCCATGTGGAGCTGTAGAGTCTCTTTCAGCCCAGGATAACTGATGTTTCTCTGCAAAGGTTTGGTAATCCTCACACAGAGCTCCTGGGAGTACAAAGGCATTCAGTGTCCAGGATGCTGCTTCATCAGCTGACAATGAGCGCCAAGTGCCGAGTGCCAAGCCTGGGCCCTGCTGCTGATCCATGCCTCCATTTGTTACTTCCTGCATGGGTGATCTGGCTAGAGACACCCACAGGGAGAGTGACCTCTTCCTCCTGTGCAGGAGGGTCCAGCTGACGTATGGGATGGGACTCCAGTATACCCACTAGGATGACAGCAACCTGCCACTGGAATGGCCAAACCCTGCAGTCCCAACAGGAATGGCTTGAAATCAGCCCTGCAGAGCAGTCGGCAGGTCTCCCCGGGGTGTTAATTACTACCTGCAGGAGGCAGTTCTCTACTCCAAGATCACACGAGTATTTGCCCCACAGAAAGCAAGGCAGGATAGATATCTCCCAGAGGCAACCCTGGGAAATACCATGCTTTTCCTGCCGCAGCTTGTACTGATACCAGTAGGTGCTTCGGCACCAGTTCTAGTCCGTCTCTCTCAGCCAGGAATGGTGCCACTAGAAACGGTCTTCTCCCTGCTGCTCTGGGTGCAAGTAAGGAGTGGGAACTGGGTGCAAGTAAGGAGAGGGAACTGAAGGAGGATCATGGTCAACCTGCACTACATGCTGTCCTAGGTGCAGGGCACATGCACAGCCCCAGCGGATATTGCTGTTCTGAAGAGACTCAGATCTTGTGTGCAAGAGATGCAGGCTTGCCTTCTTCCAAGATCCTGCACTGTAGGACTCACTAAAATTCACCTTGCAACAAAAAAGGCCTAGAGAGGTATTAAAAAAAAAAAAAAAAGCCGCAAGCCAAAAGGCTGGTTCTAATTGTAACTCTTGGAAAGTCTGCAGCCCATGGCCCAGGCCCATTTCTGCTTACAACTATGGTGCGTGGTTTAGGATTGTAGGTCCTCTTTTCAATAGTAGGGGGATCTCTTCACACTCTGGACAGCACCACAGGAGAAAGACCATCAGCCACCCCGGCTTCCTAGAAAGACTCCTGGACTATCACAAACCTGTCCCCACCACATGGCCTCTGATTACCCACTTTAAAGAATCTGTTAGGAGATTTCAGGCGAGTTCCATCTGGGGCTCAAAGTGCAACTAAAATGCTAGGCCAACCAGGAACAAAAAAAAAATTCCCCACGATACTTCTACAGAGAGAAGCTTCAGTTCCCCACACCTCTGGTCTATCTCTTGCAGTATTATTTTCCACTGACAGGTAGAACAAAACAGTGTGTTCACAGACTCCATCCTGCTATCCATAACCTGAAGTCCCAATGAAATCACCAGGGGCCAGGCTCTAGTATTTTTACTCGTGTTACAAAAGCACCTTACTGTACAATTTGGGACCTTAACATCAGTGGAGATGCCCACGGAGCAAGGCTCCACTCAAAGTGTGAGGATAAGAAAATCCAGCCCTAGCAGAGCTGCCTGAGTGCGCACTGCAAAACTGTAGAAAAGTCCCTGGACTGATATTCAGATCTGGATCTAGGAGCCTCTACCCCAACTTCGGAGCAACTGAAGATTTCACCACCTTTCAGCCCATTACAGAGAAGGCTTTCTGCAAAATCCAACTCATCTGCCCAGATCCTTCAATGTTTTTTGTTTTGTTTTTTAATTTAGTGTCTCAGGCCAAATTAGCCAAATTGGTTCTGAATTCTGTTGATCGAGCAGAGCTCAGTCACCCAAATCTGTGTGGCACTACCACCAGCAAGTATCCTACCTCCCAGACTCTTTGGCCTAGGACTTCAGAGGCTCCCAAATCCTATGTGCAACCTCCAAGCTGGAAGGCCTTGGGGGTTCAGAAGCCGCCTGGTCAAAAGGCTCATGGAGCAAGCTGGAGGGAAAGCCTGAGAGCAATCCCCCATCACCATAAACTGCGTAACCAAGATCCTCGCATTTGGAGGCAGTTGTAGACTCTCATGGGGGTGCCTGCTTGCAGCACAGCAGGCAGGTCTCCACCCTCAACTACACCAAGTCATTCAAGGCTGGGAAGAAGGGGATCTCCCCTGCCAGGTACAGTAAAACCACCTGGGCCAACACCATCATCACAGTGGCTCCCCTGCCAGGTAAGTAGTTCTGCCCAGATCCTTCAATCTTTGGATTCAGGGCTTTGGCATTGCCCATTAGAGATGAAGGGTGGCTGTAAAGATCCAGATCTAGGTTCTGCAGCATGGGTTCAGTGGAAGGCGTATCACTCTCAAACCCCAGCACTACCAAGTTTCAGCTCTTTCAGAAGCCTCCTACTAGCTACACTTGTCCGAGATCTTCACTCTGGCTATGCAAACTCCTCCCCTCCTTGATAAGGGAAGGAGAAGATCATTCAGAAGCCTGGCTGCAGCCAGCAAAGCAGCGGGCTTTCACCTGCACATGTGCTTGTGAGTCAGAACTGGTCCTTCAGATAAAGGCAGAAACCTTCCCCCTACCCCCAACTACTACTTCCCTACATGTTTCTGCCAGCAGTTTAAAGGGGCTTTTTTCTTTTTCTTTTTTTTTTTTAGTCCTCCCAGTGGGTGGGGAAAATCCCTGGTGTCAAACTTCAAAAGGAAATCCTGAGTTCACATTGCATTCATGTTGAACTCTTAGCACGCTCAGCTCAAACCACAGACTTCTGAGAGTGCCCACGCCCAAACCTCCACTGCGCCTCGGAGCAGCACCAGGCAGTGCGTGTACCGAGAAAGAGAGAGAAACGCAGAGCGCTGCGCTCCGCGCCGGGGAAGGGAAGTGCGCTGAGGGCCCTGCTGAGTCACACTGGAAGGAGCACACAGACCACGCTGCTGGATGAGAGCGAGAGAGACAGACACACTAACAAACTTGCAAATGCCTCCTCTCAGGGAGGGAGGGGGAATAAAAAAAGATAGGTAAACTGGATTGAGACAGAATTTCAGCTTGGATCCAGGCCCCAAACTTCCCCAGAGTTTATTGGAAGGTTGGGTCCAGGTTTTTGACTGAGCCCATTGCAGACATAGGGAGCATCTGCAGAGTTTGGATCTCAAGCCAAGCATCTCTGAGTCCAAACCAGAAAGGGGGGGGTGGTATCGGGTGCCTGTAGTAAATAGAGTGAACCCCCCCATTCTTCACGAGGAAAGGCAACAAGTCTGTGGTAGAAACAACCATAACTTACCAACCTCTCTTGCCCCCATTGGCCTGGTGCTAATCCCGTTAGTGGGATAAGTGATCCACATCACAACATCCACTCAGACCAATCTAATCACTGCTAAAAAGCAGCAACCTTCCAGCATCAAGCTCACCAGCAAGACAAAGCTGCTACTCCCTCTTACCCTGCCAACTAGTGTAGGGCCTTTATCTCCAACACAGTCTTGTTTAAGACCGGCAGTTTTATCCAGGGGGGTTTCATTGGTACTAAAGCTTCAGAACATGAGACTGTCTCTCTAACTGGAAGTCAGTCTGACCAGAGACAGAGAAGGGCAAATCTGCACATCACTTCCACATGCCAAACCCAGCAATGCAGCTGTGAAGCCACTCCAGGGGCATCGCCCCACAGCTGCTCAAGGCCGCCATCTCCGGCATGCTTGAGAGCAGTCACGGGGGGATACTCCTGAAGTGGCTTTACTGCCGCATTTCCTAGCCTGGCTTGTGCAAGTGGGACCAGGTGGAGCATAGCCACTGTATAAACCTAACGTTGCTCCTGACTTAAGCCAACCAGACCCCATCTAGCAACAGATCCCCAGCCCGTGCCATGCCACCTGTCACCGATGCCTTGCTGAACTCAGTGCGTCAGGGGACAACGCTTCCGTTCTTACAGCGCTGCTGTTTCATACTTACCGCCTGACACATCCAGGAGGAGAACTTCTGAGAGCAACTAATGGCTTCCCTAACGATTAGCAGTATTATCATTTCAAGTGTCTGTTTTGGGCCTGTGACCGCAAGGTGGGCCCATGCGCCAAGAGTTTATTTCTTTGTTGTTGCTCCCAGACCTGCAATCTGAGTCTTCCACCAGCCCATCTACCCAGGCCAGGATGTCACGGCACAATGCCCCAGTTCTCTGCTTCTCTATCTACATCTACCTGGATTTCTAGCATAGGGATCTTAACAGTTCGGGGACTTTGTGTCAACCATGACAAGTTAAGAACAAGTCCAGGACAGGACACTCAGTCTTCAGCAGGATACTACCAAGCACCCCCCAACAGGAAGCACCCCAGGATATGATCTACCAAACAACCCATAGCTAGTGGTTTCTTTGATGCACAGTGAGAACAAGATGGGTTACAGAGTCAGGAGAGTAATCTCTAGAGACCCTACAGGAGAAAAAGTGTCCAGCTCCACCATGCTAGGAGTGCCCTGCTGGGATCTGAGGCCCGTCTACCGATGAGACATAAAAGGTCGCACCCTGTGGACATGGCAGAGACAGTCTCCAACCCTATATCCACACAGGAGGGTCAAGTCTACCCAACAAGATAACATGCAGTTATAGATCCACAGTGGAAATATGGATGTCCTTGCACAAAAAAGGAACTTAAATAGCCACCTTCTGTGGGGAGTCCATATGCAAGAAAGCAAGAAGGGGCTCATAGCAGGATGTCAAGATCCTACATGCCAGACAGAGTGATCCCAGCTTCATAAGACAGGAAATACAAGGTCTCTTTCTTCACTGTGGTTACTGCTGGGAGGACTCTTTAACCAATTCTTCACCTCCGTTTTCTTGTGCAGGGACCGGGACTTCCCTGCTGTGATAGAAGCCGGACTCGAGGGGATCGCCTTCAGACCTCAGGTTGGGGAGGACCGGGTTAGAGAGCTTCTGGAGGGGCTGGACGCGTTCAAGTCAGCGGGTCCGGATGCTCTCCACCCCAGGGTGTTGAGGGAGCTAGCTGGGGTTATTGCAGGGCCCCTGGCATGGCTCTATGAGCGATCGTGGTGCTTGGGCCAGGTGCCAGATGATTGGAAGGTAGCAAATGTGGTCCCCATCTTCAAGAAGGGGAAGAGGGAGGACCCGGGCAACTATAGGCCCGTCAGTCTTACCTCAATCCTGGGGAAACTCTTTGAGAAGATCATCAAGGAGCACATTTGTGATGGGCCGGCATCAGAAATGATGCTCAGGGGCAATCAGCATGGATTTATTAGGGGGAGATCATGTCAGACCAACCTGATTGCCTTCTACGATCAGGTCACAAAGGCCATGGATGCAGGTGTCGCGGTGGATGTAGTCTTTCTGGACTTCAGCAAGGCCTTTGACACCGTCTCTCACCCCATCCTAGTTAAAAAACTAGGCGACTGTGGCATAGATGCCTACACAGTCAGATGGATTGCAGATTGGCTGAGGGGTCGCACTCAGAGGGTGGTGGTGGATGGGTCATACTCGACCTGGGGGGAGGTGGGTAGCGGAGTCCCCCAGGGCTCGGTCCTGGGGCCTGCGCTGTTCAATTTCTTCATCAGCGATCTAGATGATGGGGTGGAAAGTAACCTGTTTAAATTTGCTGATGACACCAAAATTTGGGGGGAGGTGAGCACGCTAGCAGGGAGTGAGAGATTGCAGAGGGATCTGGATAGGTTACAGGGGTGGGCTAACAGGAACAGGATGCGTTTCAATACGGACAAGTGCAGGGTGCTGCACTTGGGCAGTAGGAACCAGCAGCACACTTACACAATGGGGAACTCCCTACTCGAGAGCACGGAGGCAGAAAGAGATCTTGGAGTCATTATTGACTCCAAGATGAACATGGGCCGACAATGCGAGGTCATGGTTGGCAGGGCTAACTGGACCTTGTCGTGCATCCACAGGTGCATCTCGAGTAGAGCCAAGGAGGTGATCCTCCCCCTCTACGCGACGCTGGTCAGGCCACAGCTGGAGTATTGTGTCCAGTTCTGTGCGCCCCATTTCAAGAGGGATGTGGACAACATGGAGAGGGTCCAGAGGAGGGCCACCCGCATGATCCGGGGACAACAGGGCAGACCCTACAGTGAGAGACTGCGGGACCTGAAC